GTTAAGGATGCACCAAAAGTTTCCAAATGCCAGAATTTAATTTGCATGTAATTCTTTCATTATCAAAGATAACATAATAAAAGTATATATCATTTGAAAGCTTGTTAAATTTACTATTTAATTATCCTAATTAAATCTTCAATTAATAACTTATCTAAAAATTATTTAAATATTAATGTAAATTTTAGTGCACAAATATTTTATAAATCAACTTTTTTTGTATTTAACCCCTCAAAGTGGTAATTTTGCCTAAAAGTGGATTAAAGATTGAACTTAAAAACTGTATAGAAATTCTCAGATTTTTGATAGATCTTCTTTAAGTTTACTTATATATAAACATGACTTTAGTTGTTATTTGCAAGATTTTTGATAAAAGTTTTTGTATCATCTGTTCTTAAGCTCAGCTTTGCCAGAGAGTTCAAAAGACATGTTTACAAAATTTTCCTTAGAACTGTACATGTGTTTTGAAATTTCCTAAGAATAATCTTAGGATTATTTTACTAATTTAGGTCCTAAGACAAACTTAGACATGTAAATATGAGAATGGTGAGTAAAAAATACTTTTTACACTCTAGAAACCCTAACTGAAATTTACTATAGTACGTTAACTACAGTAAATATTTTAAAATATTTTAATACTTTGATTTCCTATGAATCTGTACTCTATAAAACGGGGGGGGGGGGGGGGGTTAGACCCTCAAAATCGCTTGAATACCATACCAATGATAACTGGAGTGTTCCAAGGAACGCATGTGTCGCCTGCTTTATAGCTTCATTAAAAAATAAATCTAAGAGTGGTCAGCTATTTATTTACTACTAGCACGATAGTTCATATATTTGCTGCAAAGAAACAATCTCTTATGCAGAGTTGTCGTTCGTTCCTCTCACATAGACTGGTACCCTGACATTGGTTAACGGGCGCAAGCGCCCTGAAAAACCATAATGTAATTCCTAGCGGCAGCGACTGGAATCAAGGGCAGAGAACCAGTGCTATCCTCTCACAGACACGAATGTCACTCGGCACACCTCGGCCGATTACATCAACCTACATGATGTAGGGTACAGTAGTCAGCCGAGGTGAGCTGAATGACACGAATGTATGAGCCGATGGTAGAGAGTCGCAAAGAAAAATAGTATGACTGCGATAGAATCGACGATCAAATAAAATATGGGTCCCCAACCCTCAAAGAATATTATAATTAAATTGAAATTATTAGAAACAATTATTTATCATTTTATTAATTCGTGTTTCCAACGATCCTTCAAAACAGATTGGGATACCGATTCCGATTTATTCATCCTGAACCATGAAAAGCGTTCGAGATTTCTTCGTGGATGTTCACAACACTATAGTCTATTCAGTCAAACACGTATGTTTTATAAGTGTTTGCAGAGTGAATCAGAATTCCAACTTTTCCGAATCGGAAGTTAATATCCTCTTAGAGTGTTACTTTTTGCAACTGTTCAAATGTGTCTATAATTCGTCAATAAGAGAGCTTGAGAGGCAATATGTAGAAAGTGAATTCAAATAACATTGACTACAGAAGAACTGGGGAAAAGAAATGGTCATCTTACACTTGTGAGCGAAACGTCATTGAGTACCGTATACAGTGTAACTAGCAAAGGATGGAGTTACATCTGAAAAAATATCAGTATCAAACTCTGAAAACAAAAAACAAGATGTGTTTGTGAAACACTGATGCCCCCGTATGGCAACTTATAGCAAAGGTAAAACTTTCTCAAATGCAAATCAAATATGTTGGAACCCAAAGTAAGGTCTTGTCTCGAGAAATATACCTGTGAAATACGAAAGCCCTAACAGCAACCATTGAATAGATATGGAAAATGATAAAGTTTTCAAAAGTAAGTCAAACATCAAGGTCATGGTCAAATGGTCAAAATTAAGGGTGCCCAAGGAAAGGCCTTCTCACAAAAAATACACATAAAAAATATGGAAGCCGTAGCACCAATCGTTCAAAAGTGATGGGCAATGTTAAAGTTTTTCAAAAGCAGGGCAAATTTTAAGGTCAAGGTCAATGAATTATAATTGTCGGTATCCAAAGGAAGGCCTTGTCACCAGGAATAGACATGTGAAGTATGAAAGCCCTAGCACCAACAGTTCAAAAGTTGTGGCCAAGGTTAAAATTTTCCAAAAGTAGGTCAAACCCCAAGGTAAAGGTCAGAGGACCAACGTTGTTGGTATCCAAAGGAAGGCCTTGTCACAAGGATTCAGGGTTCGACACTAACGTTAGTCCGTTAGTCTCAGACTAATACATTTTCATTTGGACTAATAAAATCTGTGGCTAATTTGTCCGAACGGACCAATAAAAATTTCTGGAAAACAGATTGAATAAATTAACGATGTTCGATTCTCCACAACTTTTACTGGAAAACCCCGCATGTATTTTTAGCTTTCTAGCTTCTTGGCGGGTAGTTAAGTAATTCCGAGCCAACTTGGCGCTTTCTTTTAGGACTGATTGATATGAAACTAAATATTTTAGCGATCATGATTTAGTATAACACATGAAGGATGATATGTATAACGTTAAAGAAAACAGAACGAGATCGGGAATACGATCGCACTTCCTGATCGCGATATTTTAACAAATGCTTTGTTCATTTCAAAAAAAAAAAAAATACATTGTTATGTTTATTTTAAATAAATCGTGATTAAACATTGACGTTTCTTTTCTTTTTTCTTTTTTTTTTGACGGACTCGTAAAATCGCGTGCGGACTAGTAAAAGTATTGAGGCACTAGTCCGGCCGGACTAAAGCCTAAAAATGTAAGTGTCGAACCCTGGGATTACATATGTGAAGTATGAAAGCCCCAACATCAACCTTTCAAAAGTTATGGCCAATGTTAAAGTTTTTTCAAAAGTAGGTCAAACTCCTAGGTCAAGGTCAAAGGGTCAAAAGTGTTGATATCCAAAGGAAGGTATTGTCACAAGGATTACTCATTTGAAGTACGAAAGCCCTAGCACCAACAGTTCAAACGTTACGGCCAAGGTTAAAGTTTGGTAAAATTTTGCAAAACTGGGCAAAACTCCAAGGTCAAATATATATACCTAAAGAAAGGTCTTGTCACAAGGAATATACGTGTGAAATATGAAAGCCATAGCTCCAACCAATCAAAAGTTATGGGCAATGTTAAAGTTTTTCAAAAGTAGGTCAAACTCCAAGGTCAAATGGTCAAAGTCGTTGGTATTCCAAGTAAGGTCTTGTCACAAGGAATATATATGTGAAGTATGAAAGCCCTAGCTCCAATTGTTCAAAAGTTATGACCAAGGTTAAAGTTTTTCAAAATTAGGTCAAACTCCAAGGTCAAGGTCAGAGGACCAAAGTTGTTGGTATCCAAGGGAAGGCCTTGTCACAAGGATTATTATATGTGAAGTATGAAAGCCCTAGCACGAACTGTTCAAAAGATATGGCTAATGTTAAAGTTTATTCAAAAGTAGGTCAAACTCCTAGGTCAAGGTTAAAGGGTCAAAGTTGTGGACATTCAATGGAAGGTCTTGTAGCAAAGATTACACATGTGAAGTACGAAAGCCCTAGCACCAACTGTTCAAAAGTTATGGCCAAGGTTAAAGTTGTTAAAATTTTGCAAAACTGGGTCAAACTCCAAGGTCAAGGTCAAATATGATGGTACCCAAAGAAAGGTCTCGTCACAAGGAATACACTTGTGAAATATGAAAGCCATACCTCCATCCAATCAAAAGTTATGGGCAATGTTAAAGTTTTTGCGGACAAACAGATAAACAGACAGACAGACGGACGGACAGGGCAAAAACTATATACCCCCGAATCTAGGATATGGGGGCATAAAAATACCCACATATGTTTTGTTTATTTTAAAACGAGAGAGAGAGAGAGAGAGAGAGATGGGTATAAGGAAACATTAAGAGAACAAGATGTGTTTGTGAAACACTGATGCCCCCGTATGGCAATTTATAGCAAAGGTAAAACTTTCTCAAATGCAAATCATATATGTTGGTATCCAAAGTAAGGTCATGTACCGAGGAATATACCTGTGATATATGAAAGCCCTAGAAGCAACCATTGAAAAGATATGGAAAAGGTTAAAGTTTTTCAAAAGTAAGTCAAACATCAAGGTCAATGTCAAAAATTAATGGTGCCCAAGGACAGGCCTTCTCACAAGAAATACACACATGTGAAAGTCGCCCGCGTGGCGCAGTGGTTAGAGCGTTTGCTCTAGAGTCGCGAAGTAAGGAGTTGATCCTTACGTCGCGGGTTCGAATCCACTGTGGGACGTGGAGACCGGTTCTTCGGATGAGACCGTATAAACCGAGGTCCAGTGTCCCAGTAGGTGCTGGCACGAAAAGATCCCTCACTGTTCAATGGCCGTAAGTGCCGAGCATAGGACAAAATTTGCAGCTCTCCACCGGCAAGTGGTGGCGTCTCCATATGAGTGAAAAATTCTCGAGAGGGACGTTAAACAACATACAAACAAACAAACATATTAAAATTTGTTTCATACTTGCATATTATATCATTTTTCGACCTGTCTTCCCATATGTTTTTTTTTCTTGTTTTTTTTTAACATTTATTTTATTTTCCCCTTACGATAACGTCGGCTTTCTATATCGATGAGAAATACTTACCAACTGAGGAATAATGTTAATTTAACGTGAAAGGGGCGCCATACTTTTCTAACATAAACTGCGTTAGTCGTTAAATTTCTACAAAGTTTTACATTTTGTGAATAATACATGAGTTGGGAATAATATATTGGGAAATAAACACAAACGACATGTAACTATTTATTTTTAGAAATTGTATTGAAAAATAATGACGCTACCGCGTCTTCTGTGCTACCCCAGCAGTGTTTGTCGTGTGATTTTAAACTTGTCAGACAACCATATAAATTGGATTCAATAAAAATAAATCCCCAAGATACTGATGTACATGTAACACTAACTGACATTATGCGCCGTTGTTTAAATTCAACCTGTTAAAGGTAAAAATGATAGAAATATTAAAATATGCATTTGTCATCTGCTTTATTTTTTAAGATACATGTATTTGAAATAAAATGTGTACTTTATACACATAATGTAAATGTTAAAGTAATACAAAACATTTAGCAAGGTGTACATGAACTTTTAAAACAACATTTTCAAGTCAGTTCAACTTGTTCCTATCCCACATACTGAAAAACACACAACATATTATATATATGGTACATAAACTCTGATATCTTTTTACACAATTCAAGTTTACCTGTTGTTAGCTTCAGTAAGTCAGACAAACACACATACTAAAGGCTCAAGTACTTAACCTATCTGACAGAGCCAGAACAAAATTAATATATCACTGCATAAAGCTGCCAACATTTCTTTGGCATTATATTGTGAACAGAAAAGTCAATCAAAACGTAGAACCATTTTTGTTGGAATAAACAATACATTTTAAATATTTTGAAACATCATTTTCTAATCATCTTATACATGAATAATTTGAATATTTCACAAGAAATTTTTTTGCTTCGTCTATATCAAATCTGTCAGCCATCTCGTCAATCTAAAAAAAAATAAATAAATCTATTTTGATTACAAAATGTAAATGTACTTTGCTAATAAAAAAATAAAGTGCCTTGCCACAGCATGATACGCCCGTCAAATATTGTTCAATTATCATAAATTAAACAGTTTAGGGTGCAAGAAAATCATGTCAACCTTAATTCAAAGATTTCCATGATTTTTCCATTCCTTATAATATTTGATGTTTATACATTTCCTGTAGTGCAGGCACAAATTATAATAAATTTCTCAACTGGTTGTGTTAGACCTTGACAAATGCCCATCTGCAGCCCCCCCCCCCCCCTATCATATTTATTTGATATTTTCAAAAAATTAAATAAAAATATCATATTAAACAATATCAAAATAGTCTTAACAATTTAATCTATACCAAATTAATTTTGAAAATAAAAGGCTGGCCTGCAAGTGACATATGCTATAAACTGACAAGCAGTTTTTCTGTCTAATTCCCAAAGGATACAGATTAGAGCTGCTTCATCAGAGATGCTCTAACAGAAATGATTGAGACAGCTAGCCTTCCTATACATTGAACTCATTAATTATAATCTTTAACTGGATGCATGTCCATTCATTACTCTCAAGGGATGAATGGATCTGCACTATCTGCTTTAATAGTCTGTATTCAATGTAATAAAAATGAATATTTATGTTATTATGTTGAATACAGAGATTTTTTTAATTTGTTACGAAGATTTATAAAAAGAAACAAAAACTTGTGTAATCTTGATGCAATATTTTTAATAAGGTTACTGCATGACTCTTAGATTTGTAGGAACTATCTACCATAAAACATTTTTTAAAAAAAATACTTGATGATTTTTTTGAGATTTAATGTCAGACTGGTTTTAAGCTGCAGTTCATATTGACAAACAGACAAACGGACATGCTAATTCCAATATCCCCCCCCCCCCCGGGGTATAATTAGTTTTAATTATATTATACAATATCAAATTAGTTTATCATACATTATCAAGTTAGTTTTAATTAATTTTCACCAAATTCATTTTAAAAGTTAAAAGGCTAGCCAAATAGATACATTTATTCCTTTAATCCAACACTGATTCCTTTCCCCAATTCCCAGGAGATATAGATAACACCTGCTTGATCAGAGATGCTCTACCAGTTAGTTCCTCACACTGAACTCATTAATTTCTCTCTAATTTGATATGTAATTTTCTGTTATCAAAATTCTCCTTGACCAGTGCTTGATGATTACACCCATGGGAGAGGTGGAATTTCTCTTATAACATTACATTTGTTATAGATTGTTGTAAAGTATATAATGAAAAAAAAATAGTATTTTCTTGATTTAACATTTTTTTAATAAGGTTACTGCAACATTCTTACATTTTTGGGGATTGTGAAATTTAATAGTATAGAGACACAGTTTTTTTAAAAATTTCACTAAATTAAAGGTCACAGTGACCTTGAAATAGGTCACGACACATCTTCTACCTAAGATGCATAAATTGGCCAAGTTTGATGATTCTAAGTCTAATAGTTTTCTAGTTATGAGCCAGACAGGATTTTTCCATATTTGGCCATAGCATCTTAATTAAAGGTCAGAGTGACCTACTTTTAATGCGCGACACACCTTCTACCCAAGACGTATCAGCTGACAAAGTTTGATAATTCTAGGCCTAATAGTATTAAAGTTATGATCTGGACACGAAAAAGCTAACAGACGGACGGACGGACATGAAGGCTATAACATAATACGTCCCGTCTTAAGACGGGCGTATAATAAATGAGGCCCATGGGCAAAAATGCTCATCTGAGTTACTTTAGCTCTGCTGTTCTTAGATTTTTACAAAATTTTTATATTTACATGAAGAATTGTGACCCCATATTATGCCACACATTAATTCTAAGGGTTTCTGAATCCATACACCATGGGGATGCTTTAATATCAATATGTCTAACATTGCCTTGCAGTTATGGAGAAGAAAATTCTTTTCTTATATACATGCATTATTTGAGCCTGACTTTAGCCACATTGTAACTCTAACCTGGGGTCCACAATTTGAAAATAAATAAATAAATCCACATATCCCATATTTAGCCCAACATTAACCAAGGGGCCAAGAGTTGAATAGTTTAGTATCTACACTACCTCTGGAAATTTCATATAGATTTCATCTTTTCTGGTCTATTGGTTTTTGAGAAGATTCTTAAAGATTTTTCTTGCACTAAAAATTACATACATGTTTTTTCATGGGCTTTGGGGAAAATGTCGTTCTTGAGGATTAAATTTCTTGGATGAAGAGTTGTTGAGTAGTTTTTCATATGAAATTTTACCTTTCCAGGGATAGACATTAACTTTCAGATTCACTTGCCCTTTGGGCAAGTGATCTCAAACTTTGACTTGTCCGAATGCTAAACTTGGTTGCCCAAAATTATGAAGGAACTTAAGAATTACTGTAAACGTTATGATAAGAAAAAAATGTGACCTAATATACTACTGTCATTTTGGCAAGTTGAGCTACCTGAAAAAATGTCGATACATGCTGCATTTGTACATAAATGTATACCACTGTACTTGTAAATATAACCTGTTAACACACACTGCCATGCAACAATAATCCTCCGTTTCCTTGTAATAAAATTCATATTTTTAAAAATTATTTTAGGTAGGATCCTTTTGTGATTCGTGATTTTCAGAGATAACTGTGAAGCAACGCTTAAGGAAGATAGTTGCTACGAAACATGCATCTTATCATCATGTCTTGATCAGGATACATCGTGTTACACTGTAATTATATTCTGTGCTTGAATAAATAAGCTAATTTCCTAATAAGAATTTAACAAAATTTTCTTAGACATAGAACGTATTTACTACGAAAGAAAATAACGAACCCGATTTTTAAATGAGCGGTATAATCAAGAAACGCTACCAAGGAATTCTGAATGCAAAAACATTGTCAGTCATGTGCATGGCGGAAATCAAGTGTTCAATTTATTGTTTTATTCATAAATTAATGTAAACTAAATAAATATAAAAATATCACTTGCCCGATCGGACAAGTACGTCGACAATTTCACTTGCCCGAACTGAGAATTCACTTGTCCCGGGCAATCGGACAACCGTTAATGTCGATCCCTGCTTTCATGGTGGACATAAATTCTTGGGTCTCTTCATACCTCGAAAACAATGAAATTTAAACCCCTATGAAAATGAGTGATTTCAGAGTAAATTTCAATTTTATTTAACTTTGATCCCTTATTGTGGCCCCAATCTACCCCCAGGGGCCAAGAGTTGAACATTTTACAATATACACTACCTCAAGAAACTGTCACTTACATTATAAGTTTTATCTTTTCTAGTCCACTGTTTCTTAAGAAGGAATTTTAATGATTTATGAATTTTCCTCTATATTTCAATATAAAACTTTGCTCCCTTATTGTGGACCTACCCTACCCCCATGGTCCATGATTTGAAAAAAAATAAAATCTACACTTCCTCAGAAAGCTTTCACATAAGTTTCACTTTTTCTGGTCTAGTGGTTCTTGAGAAAATGATTTTTAAAGATTTAGCTGATGAGAAGGATTTTTAAAGATTTTTACTATGTATTTCAATTTGAAACTTTGTTTCCTTATTGTGGCCCACCCTACCCCCAGCATCCAACAACAAGGTATGGCACAGTTTTTTCTTAGAATGTGTTACCGGTAGATTTAATGTATTTCATTTTCAGTAATAATACAGTGCAGACATAATAAGAATTGGCCATTTCCATGACCACAGGTCATAAAACACAAACCTGTTTCCAGTGCTGCGCCTTCTGTTCTACTCTCTGCTGTGTATGCTGTAGTTTTGTCTGTCTGGCACGGAGTGCATCCTTAAGAAGTTTATTCTGGGACTGAAGATCTGATAAAATTCCCTGTAAGCGTTCTTTCTCCCTCAGTTTGTATGGGGCAGTGTGAGCAAGTACATCCTGAGCAGCATTGCCAGATGGTCGCCTGTGAATGAGATTTCTTGTTAAAACTGCTATTTATCATTTTCATTTAATATCTGCATTTGAAAAGGGCTTTAAAAAAGACACTGAATATATGTGGTGAATAATTGTGTAAAAGTATAAATGCCACTCATGTATCACTGTGGCACACAGAGCTTGTCTTTAATGGTCATGGCTTGTATAAAAATTAGGCATATATTGTGACTTTAGTGTTTAATATTCTAATAAAATTTAGTTTGTTTTTAAACAGACAAATGAAATATTTACCATCCTTTCTTTCCTTTTTCTGGGTTTTCATCAATTTGATCATTTAAACCATTTAACAATTTACCAATATTCTCTTCTTTCAGCATCCAGGTAATTTCCTCCTTTAAAAAAAAAAATTAATTGTTCAGAAATCTATCTAAATCTAAACATTAAATTTAATTTCAATATGCAGTTACTGACTTATAAATACTTTGTTACCATCTTGAGCAAACATTATTCACTTTACTGTAAATTCATAATGAACCACTTTATGCCAGACTTTAAACTAAACATTGTTGAGATGGTGACAATCTCAAAGGGCTCTGCTCTTAGCAAAGGACTTAGGATGAAATACCCTTCATCCAATTTACTCTTTGGGCGATTTTGGTGCCAGATGGGGCCAATGGGTGAAAAAATGCTCAGAAAAAATTCATAGGTCCACCCATCATCCCTGGTAAATTTTGAATTGGACCAGTAAAATCTTAATTTTATCAGTCAAAATGTCTGGCAGCTTTTACAGATTGTATTAAAATGAGACAGAAAATCTTAACAAAATCATTAATTCAATTGTCATTTTATTGATTACAATAGAGAAATATTAATAAAAGCCAGAAAGTAACAAATATTTTTTTTTCAATCTAGATTTGCCAACTCTTCTTTTAGAAATATTATTAAAGCATCATACATTTGTTGAGACAATTTCCTATTTGAGTTAAAAATGGACGCTAGCGACAGGAACAAGTAAGTATAAGAAAGACCCATGGACCAAAGCCCTCACCTGAGTCAGGCATGGGCACGATTACTTACAAATGTAATTGATTAATAATTGATTACTTAGAGGAAATTTGTGTAATCGATTATTAATTGATTACATTTATTTTTGTCCTGTAATCGATTACTTTAGAAGATGTATTCAATTAATAATCGATTACTTCTAAGTTTCTTCACCTCAAATATCAAAACAGAAAAATATTTTAAATATTATATAGTAATGTTCATTGATGTTGATATTTCAGATATCCACTGAAGTTCGAAAGTGTTAATTTTAGTGGTGTTCCAATCATCAATTATAATCAAAAATCAGTCGATTGCTAGCATAATCCAAGCGTTACTTATTTTATTTTGCAAGCACAATAGTTTTTAAGCTGAATATTCCAGCTGCAACTTGTCTATTAACTTACTTGTTCATCGTAATGGCACAGACGAACAGACATTGTATTCATACCCGGGTAACAACGCTCATTCCCGGGAATGGACGTACTTTGTATTCTACAAAATGAAGGATGAACCAGCTGGACTAGGAAGAACGTTTTATCGTTAAAATGATATTGTCCTACGGCCTAAGGCTTGTCCCGAGACACAGTTAGATTATTCTAACTACAGCTGGACCACCACAGTAGTTATTCGCCCATTCTTACCATTTAATAAACTAAATTGACAGACTTTGTAAATGTCCGATTATAATTGATAATTAGTTAGTCACAGTAGCCAGATCATCGATTATGAAATTTTGATTCCCATCACTAGTTTATTTTGTTCAGTTTCTGTGCAGATTCTTTTAAGTTTTTTTTCTGGTTTAATTTCATACTTTAGACCTAACATGGTCACTAAATGTTTAATGAGGGATTTCTCTACCACGAAAGATGGAGACATGGTTCTTGCAATGATATGTTTTAAGGAATTCAATCAATTCATTATTAGTCCCCTAACGGTGAAACCGGAGGGGACTATAGGTTTCCCCTGAGTCTGACCGTCCGTCTGTCTGTCCCTCTGTCAGTCTGTCCCACTTAGTTTAGTTGATGAGTTACAGATCAAGTTTACATTTTGTTCCACTTCAATGATTTTTTCACGGAATTACGACCTTTTTAAGTTTGCATTTCGTTCCACTTCATTGATTTTTGACAGAATTATGGCATTTTCAATTTTTAACGGGAACCAGATTACACTTGCGGGTAGGGGACTAGTATTGCTACTGCAATACTCTCAGAATGCTTGTTCTTTTTGACTTTGGATCTATCAGCATATGAAGATTGATAAAAATATCTTGGATACTTTCTTTGAAACTGAGCTTTGAAAAGAGCAAAGCGTGACGGAAAACAGACGGAAGGATGGAAGAGACATGACAAACACTATATGCCCCGGCCATATTCATGGCGGGGCATAAAAATACTACATGTCAATATAAAACTTTTATCCCCTATGGTGGTCCCACCATACCTCTGGGGACCTTGATTTGTAGAATTTAGAATCTACATTACCTCAGAAAGCTTTTAACTCATCTCTGTTGGCCTAGTGGTTCTTCAGATGAAAATATTTTAATGATTGACCCCACCCTATTTTGCCTTTCCTTGGTCATATCCCCTTTGTTTGGATGGGGGATTGGCCCTTAATTTGAATAATTTAGAATCCCCTAACCCAGGGATGCTTTGTGACAACTTTGGTTAAAATTGGCCCATTGGTTCTTGTGAAGAAGTTGAAAAAATTTGAAAAGTTTACAGACAAATGCAGGCAGGACAACAGGGGATCAGAAAAGCTCACTAAGCTTCCAGCTCCGGTGAACTAATAAAAAGTAAAACAATATCTATCAATCATACAGAAACATTGGATTTAAGTTGTGCCAGTAGCTGTGCATGCATCTTTTTCAAAGCTTGTGGCTGATGCTCATACAATGGTCGCAACTGCTCCTTGAACAAGGAAAATCTGAAAGTAGATTACAACTTTACATAAAAAATGGATACATAGAAATTATAGGGCTGGATGATACACTTTTTCTATATCGATGCATATCTCAATATATTTGAGCCACGATGCGATATGTATTAGGGCTGGGACGATACAACTTTTTCTATATCGATATGTATCATATTTGAGCCACGATACGATGTGTTTCACGATATGTTGAATTGGTTATAAAATGTCTTTTTTTGTATTGAAATGAACATTTCTTCACAAATAAGAATAATTTATTCAAAGAAGTTGTATATCTGTTGCAAAACAAATTTATTTTACACAAGTGGTGTTCATTATTATGTATTTCATATTTATGTTTTAAATTAGCATATTTATTTTATATATTGAACCCAAAATGCTAAGTAAACAAAGAAAAAAATGTCAGAATTGGTGATATTTCAATACTTCTTTATATGGATTGATATATGTATCTTCCTCACAATCGATATGTGTATAGTCCTCACACAGAATTGATATAATCGATATTTTGATATATTGTTCCAGCCCTAATAGAAATGAACGTATACATTTATATAGAAAATGACTGTACGTCGTATCAGGTATAAATGGAAAGAAAAAATTTATCAACTCATGATGATCAAACAAAATCTTCAGTTAAACATTCTGAGTATGTTGTTAAACCTACCCTTTACTATTTGATTTGGTCGATTACTTCATTAGGCACCAAATCTTATGGTACTCGAAAAAAAAGCTAGCTTACCAACAATATACAAATAGATCAAGTTGATCTACAGGCACAATCTTTTGATTGAGCTTTAGCTTGGGTTGATCATCAACCCAAGGTAAAGCTCAATCAAAAGATTGTGCCAGACTTGTTTTTGTTATTTAAGCTTAGTGAATGCTTTATATTTTAAGAAAAAAAATTAAAAATTAAAAATCAAGAATTTTGACCAGTAACAATGAATTATTGAATCTGAGTGGTTTTGCCCTGATTAACTGTTCGCACTGAGTGGATTTGCCCCATTTTTTTTTTTTTTGTCCTAAGTGGATTCGCCCTTGTGGTTTTCTTCAAACATACAGGATACTTGATGTTTAAGCAAAAGTCGTTTGATCAATGGGTGTTTAGATAAACATACTGAACACTCTAATAAATTTCATGTGCAGTTTGAAGAGCCGGATCTAAATTAAAACTGAATACAGGGGTTTTTTTTTAGGTCTTAAAATCAAGGGACTGGGCCTTTCCATTTGGGAAAAAATAGCATCATTTAGTTAAAATTGGGAAAAATATCATAATTCTGAATTCATTTTTGTATATAAATTCAAATAAAACCCATTTCTTTATTTGCAAAGCATTTATTAACTTATTTACATTCAATAAATCTTTATTGAAAACAGCTTAACCTGTTTGCTGTTCTAATGTTTTATTTCTTTCTATAATATTTAGAATAAAGTGACATTAAGGTCATGTTTCGAATTGTATTTTGGGAATTTTCTTTGATGAAAATGGGAAAAACAAACAATTGTTACCATTGGGAATGGGGCTTATGACAGACCCCTTACGGCCCCGAAAAAAAAAAAACCTGGAATAGCTATCTGTGCTTGCCCTTACGGTCGCACTAAATTATTACATGTATAAATAACATAATATACATTTTAATTTAGCTGCATAATTTTTTTTCCCAACAACCTCCATCTTTTTTTCCTGAAATTTTGAACAAAATAAGATTAACTTTATTAAATATGTTTTATTAAATAAGATTATCATTGTGTGGATCACTTTGGATACATCAAAAACCCTTCCTCATAGCACAAACTCAAAAACACAAGTTACAACAAACTACAAAAATCCACGTGCAAAAATTTGACACCAAATTTGACAGGTGACACGGCGAAACCACAGAGCGAACATGTAATCATGGTGAACCCACCCGTGACCAGATCATTCATGTCTCTATTTTAACAAAATTTCCCATTAAAATGATAGATGAAAGGAATGAAAGGTTTACTAAAATCACAATAAATACGTCCATACTTTATAGACGAATAAAATTTCTCCAGACTAAGATCAAGACTCTGTTTTAAACGTTGCATTCGCTTTCCATCAATATCCTCGGCATCTTTCTGAGCTACCGCCTCCACCTCCTCCCCTGTGCCTGGCCTGTCATTTTTTTCCATCTCAGGTGTTTTCTATTTTCAATTTTGAATTCCCGCCTGATAAGAAAGGTGTATGAATTATTCGTATTTCAATCTCGATCAATTTTTTTCCACATCTTTTAAATCATTCATATTTATGGTTATCAATTTACATCTTTATATTTATATAAATGTTTAAAAATATTTTGAGTAGAAAATATGATAAAACTCTTTATAATTGAAAAAAGCAAAAAAAAAAAAAAAAAAAAAGAGAGATCGGCATTCTTTTTATTACGATCGTGGACTTTCACTTTTTCTGCCATCCTGGTGATGTGGATCATCATCATGACTTGGACGACAGATGTTGCATTGGCTATCAAGGACTAGTCAGAATCATAATCATGTAAAATTGGGATTTTTATTAGCATTCTTCATCATCTGCTAAAAGTCTGTGACCTCAATTTAATATGAAGTGTTTTAGAAAGAGAAAATTTGTGTTATGTGCATTAACGTGTAATTTTACTTTTGTGATAGTCCTTTACTATTTTCTTCAAACTGAAAGAATTATCGATACTGTGAAAAAGATTGATCCGACATACTCAGTGGTCATTCGAGAGTTTGAGGATTATGACAATGATGTGCCACAAACAGTTCGCCATATACATGAAGTGCTAGGAAATCATGTGCCAATATTCATTGTGACAGACCATCCTACATATCCAAAAATCGATTTCATTTCAAACCACAAGGTTCAAGCCATGTTTATTCTGGACTTCGATTTAGACAGTAAAAAACATACAGATGATGAGGTTTTAGATGCTATAACAACAGATTTTGTTATTTTCATACCAGATGGTGCTAGAATTTATAATAAATCTGTTTTTGAACGCCTTATTCATGATTTTGATAATTCCAAGTTTGCACATGCATTTGCTGTTAAAACTGGCAGGGATAAGCTTAGATGCCCAGGGATGCATATTAACTTACAAAGGTGGCGGTTGAAAATAACAGAATTTGAAGGCTATGAAGGATTGTGTGATTATATAGAAGGTGATCAAGCTGTTTTATTGCACACAGTGATATTAGCAGAACTGCCAAGTCCATGGTCAATCCCTTTAACTAAATCATTATATCTACAGTTTGTTGTTAAGAGGTGGAAATCATTTGTGTATACCCCTGAAGTATTTATACCTCGGAAAGGGTTCAAGGATCCCAGTAGCATGCAGCGATTTAAACATGAAGAGGAAAAAAGAGAAGATAAGTTATTTAGAAAATTTAAAATTAAAGAACTAGTGAATAAGATTGATGCTGACCATGAAAAAAGTCATTATTATGGCTGTAGCAAGGGAACAGAGCGATGTTACAGCTCTGTAATTAATAACATTCCAGATTTCTTGTACCACGGGAAATGGACCCCTCCATGCTGCCTCAAGGCTCTCCGTGAAACAGCTCAACATGTCTTTAAAATATTTGATAGTACAAATGTGCGATATTGGTTGGAGGGTGGGAGTTTGCTGGGTGCGGCACGGTCTGGCGATATCATTCCATGGGATACAAGTGTTGATATAGGAATATACAAAGAAGATATCCAGAAATGTAAAGAGTTAGTTAAGACAGGTAACTATGAATATGTTGATGAAAAGGGATTCTTATGGGAAATAGCAGAAGAGGGTGACTTTTACCGAGTACATTATAGTCGTGTAAATAGAAACTACATTCAAATTTTCCCATTCTACTCAAAAAATGGTGTCATGACAAAAGATTATTGGTTTAAAACCCACAAACAAGACATTGAATTTCCAGAGCATTTTCTTGTTCCTCTGTCATCTATTGATTTTATTGGCAGAAACGTGTCAGCACCAAATGATGTAAAAGAATTTTTGGAATTAAAGTTTGGGAAAGGTGCAATTGAAAATCATCAGTATCCAAATGGTGAGCCAGTTTATTAACTTGTTTATGTAAAATGGTTGTCCACTTCTTTGTCATCCTATTTCCTTTAAAAGATATTAATAGTATTTTATTTGGCTATTAACTTGTACTTAGGTTTTGTGTTGTCTTGAATGTTTTGACATATGAGATAGTTTTACTCTATTACATGTTGGATGTGTATGTATGACTTATGTGATATAACCCAACACATATCATGAATATACATGTATGTGTATATATATATACAATGTATATATATTATATCCGTGATTTCAATGTTATTTAACTTTTCATAGCATGATATATAATACTCTTTTTTCATATTGTACAACATATCAATAACTTGCCATCAGGAACAGCTGGACTTTGCTTTATTGCATCCAATATTTGTTACACAAATCAATAATTAATTTATGAAATTTGTTTATTTCTATGAAAAAAATATCACTTTGATGTAAACAGATTTTCATTGTGTTAATTTTGCAATGAGCAACATCTTATTGCATGTCTTTTATAGTAAAAAGAACATATGTGTGTGTGTGTGTGTGTGAGGGGGTGTGTGTGTGGGGGGGGGGTTTCAAGTTCAAGTTTCTTTATTTCCTTAAGCCAACTGGCTCATCAGAATAATAATACAATCATGTTATTAAAGAAAAGAAAAGAAAATCATACAGAGAGAGTGAACGTAAAATATACATAGATAAAAATAGTCTTATACATCGATATTATTTTTTCTTAACAATGTGGCAGCATTCAAAAATTTGCCCAAATTTAACAAATCTTTAGTATTATTAGAACTTAACAGTTGAATTAATTTAAAGACACTAGGCTTGTTATAATAATACTTTTTCAAAAATTTCTCTCTTAAATCAATATACAAAGGGCATTTCAAAATAAAATGAAATTCGTCTTCTATATCATGGAGAGTACAACATGTACATAATCTGTTAATCTTTGGTATGTTATGGTATCGACCTGTTTCAATATTTAACATATGATTTGATAACCTAAATTTTGTTAATAGTTGTCTAAATTTTTTGTCAATAGGTTTTGTTAAATATGATTGCAAACAGAAATTGTCAATTAAATGTTGATACAAATAACTCTTTGGAGAGTTTGATATACTCTCTATTATGTTTTGCTTTGAAACATCTAAAAGTCGTTGTTTTATAATGTTATAAGCTCTATCATTTAAATGGTTTTCTGTCCAAAGTTGTCTTAGTCCTAGAAAAGACAGTTCTTTTTTAATTTGTAAAATCCATTTGTCATTTTGTAATACCATATTTTCATAACAAGACTTTAGAATGCAATTTTCTGTTGTTCTTAATTTGATCCAGTATTTAAATATTCTTAGTTTCATTGTAACATATAGTGGAAAACGCCCAAGCTCTGAATAAATCAAGCTGTTTGAGGTTTTCTTTCCAACACCAAGAGTATTTTTACAAAAATTTAAATGTACCTTTTCTATATCGGGACATCTGTGAAAACCCCATATCTCAGATCCATAAAGTAATACACTACATACATAAGTATCAAAAATTGAACATAAAGTTTCTACATTGAATTCATACCTCTTTAATCTACTTGAAATAGCAAACATAGCTTTTCTACCTTGTTCAGCAGCATGTTTCTGCGTTTTTAAAAATTTTCCATTAAAATTAAATAAAATACCTAAATATTTAAATTCATTCACAATTTCTAATTCAACATTATTATAAAACCAGGATTCATCATTATGTAATTTACCACCATTTCTAAAGATAACAACCTTAGTTTTTGTTACATTAACAGAAAGACTCCATTCTTCAGTGTAACTGCATAGTGTGCTTAACATTTTTTGTAATCCTTCTGGAGATTCAGCAAAATTAACCACGTCGTCTGCATACATAAGTAAGAATAAGTTTAGCATCTGCAAATCAATATAGGGGCAGTTATCTGATATAAAACCAACTTCGAAATCATTAACATATAATGAAAATAATATTGGTGATAATGTTTCTCCTTGCATTAGACCAATGTCGTTGTGGTAGTAGTCGCTGAGATAACCATTGTATTTAACACAACTTTTAACATTATTGTATAGAGATTTAATTATCTTTAACATTTTACCTTGGATGCCAAAATGAAACAATTTCTGCCATAATTTTATTCTATCAACAGAATCGAAGGCTTTTTGAAAATCTACAAAACAACAATATAATCTTTTCTTAGCAGACAGGTACTTATTTATAAGCGATTGTAAAACAAAAATTGCATCAGTGGTTGACAATCCCTTACGGAACCCGAACTGTGCATCAGTCAATATATCATAGGAATGTTCCCATTCTAATATCCTATTATTAAGAACACTTGTAAATAATTTACCAAAACAACTAACAATAGATATACCACGATAGTTATTGACGTCGTTTCTGTCCCCTTTTTTAAACAATGGAGTAGTAAAACATTTTGACCATGATTCAGGGTAAAGACCGGAGTTGAAAATATTGTTAAAAAGTTTATGTAAGAGTGGGAGCAATTCATCTCGGCATTTCATGAACAATTCGTTAACAATACAATCTTCACCACAACTTTTATTTGTTTTTAACTTTTTAATTGCTGCACATATTTCTTCGAAACTGATCTCTGAATCTAACTCATCGTACACAGCATCCAAATAACATTCTTTTCTGAGGCTGTCGCCTGTTTTGGAACCAAGATTTTTAAAATGCGTAAAGAAATCTTCTAAAGTTAAATTACAGTCAACATGGTTAGTCTTTTTTGTTTTGAAAAGTTTAAAGAATTGTTTTGGTGTGGGTGGGTGTGTGAGATGATTTATTATTTAATATATATTTATCACATTTTTACTCCTTTATACAGTGTATATAGCTCATAGGATATAGTTTTCATGTCCAAATTGTGACATCACAATGGTTTTTGGATGAATTTGATCATCAAGTATTGTGGATTAATTTATATTAAAAAAACCCAGTGTAAAACATGAAATATCACGTATGTAAAACGTGATAAAAAGAATCTCCCATGGTTTTTGGTTAGAGATGTTTTGTTATCCATCTCATTGTTTGTTATTATCCCCTCGCCAATACTCAAGGATAAAAACATACAACTCCTTAGATACACTAGAAATATGTTCACAGGACATGAATGCCCCGCCCAGGGTTCATTAGTAATGCAACATGAAAATTTGTATTAGTGTATAAAGTTTGATGAAAATATTTTAAATACATGTAATTTCTTTAAAACCGAGTTTTGTACACAATAAATAGTAAAGTAAAGGTCAATGGAAAGATCAAGGTGAAAAAAAAAAAATAAGAGGCCCAAGGGCCTTAACGGTCACCTGAATATGATGTTATGATCCATAGATTAAGCAAAATAAGCTGATGAATGAAGCTATGATGCCCAGAAGCAAGAAAAATAGGATGATCAGGAATCAGCAAAAGATTCATTTAGTACTCAGTAACAAATCTTCAAGTTGATCTATTTATTTACCTGTACTTTCCCCGGCCATTTGTCTCTGTCCTCATGCAGACTAAACAAAACAATTATAGCAGTTAACACATTTCATTGCCCCTAACAGTGGCCTCTCTTAGTCTTTGAAGATTATTTAATGTACAAAAATACAGTATTTTTGTCCCATTTTCATTTGTACAAAAATACAGTATTTTTGTCCCATTTTCATTTATCTATTATTTTAAATTTTTCCTGACCATCATCCTCACAATGTCAAGGTTTTGTGATTTTATAACTCCACACAAACCCTTGACATAAGTCGTTATTTAAAAGTTGGGCTAGAAAGCTACTATTTCATTTGTTCCTGGTCTAGGACTGGAACCAATCAGAAAACAGCTTTTATTGTATAAGTTTTGTAAACAAGTAAGACTCGTCTTTAAAATGGAAAGTGTCATATCGTAGGATTTGTGACTAGTTACTTTAAATGAAACATCCAGGATTAATTTTTTGAAGATCGTCCTCCTTACAATCACAAAAGATATGCTCTGGAGTACGGCAATTTCATAAATTCTGAAATCACAAAACCTTGACATTATGAGGATGCCTGACCATTAAAAACTATGAAAGTACTTTTAGAATTTAGTATTAAATATTACAAAAATTTTTGTATAATTCTGTTGTTCAATTGATCTTTTAAGTTACATTAAACTATCATAGGTGAATAGCAAAGGGGAATAACTTCTTTCAGTTGAAATTAATAAATTGATCAAAGGGTACAGAATTTCAAAATCTGGTAGAAACACCCTTGCTTATTACAGTATACTCTGTTTGTCTCCTAGAAGCCCAGGAGCAGAGAAGAAGATTTTCAAAGAAATAATTCATTTTCACTATAGATTCAATAAAGCCCTACCCTAATACCTGACCCAGGGGACAAGATATTGACAATTTTGGAAGAGGCGCCCTTGTTCATCATAACGATGCACTTAGTATGTTTCCTTTATAACAATGGGCAACGAAGATTTTCAAAGAAATAATGCATTTCTACCACATATTCAAAGAGCCTCACCCTAACACCAAAATCCCTGACCCCAGCTAGGGTTATGAATTTCAAACTTTTTGAAAAGACATCCTCGTTCATCATAACCATGCCATTAGTTTTTTCTTTTAAATACCTTGGGGCAGAGAAGAAGATTCTCACACAAAAATAATAATAATGCATTTCCACTATATATTCAAAAGACCCACCCCACATGAACCTCTGACCCTGGAACCACAAATTTCATAATTTTGGAAGAGGCATCCTTGATTATCATAACCATGTACCTAGTTTATTTGCTAAATACCCGGGGGGGGGGGGAGAGATTTTTAAAGAACTTATGCATTTTCACTATATGATCAATAGAGCCCCGCCCTTACACCAGAACCCCGACTTAGGGGCCAAGATATTCAGTTTTGGAGTAGGCACCCTTGCTCACCATAACTACGATATATACTTGGTTTATTTGCTAAATACGTATAGGAGCAGAGAAGAAGATTTTCAAAGTAATAATGCATTTTTACTATAATGATCAATAGAGTTCCCCATTGTCTACCCCTTCTTTAGAACCCCTCGGCCTGGGGTCACAAATTTCACAATTTGGGAAGGGGCACCCTTGATCATCATAACCATGCACCTACTTAATCTGCTTTTTATACAGTGGGAGAGAAGAAGATTTTTAAAGAATTTATGCATTTTCACTATGTAATTATAGAGCCCCACCCTAACACCAGAACCCCTGACCCAGGGGCCAAGATAATTCACAATTTTTGGAAGAGGCGTCCTTGCTCATCTTAACTATAAACTTGGTTTATCTGCTAAATACCTAGGAGCAGAAAAGAAGATTTTCAAAGAAATAATGAACTTTCATTATATTATCAATAACCTCCCCCTTCCCGCAGAA